ACAACGGGGACAATGGGGACAAGGGGGCAGAACAGGGACAATGGGGACAAGGGGGACAATGGGGGCAACGGGGACAGCAGGGACAATGGGGACAACAGGACAGCAGGGACAATGAGGGCAACAGGGACAGCGGGGACAACAGGGCAGAACAGGGACAATGGGGACAGCAGGGACAATGGGAACAATGGATACAACGGGCACAACGCACACAATGGGCACAGCAGGACTCAATGGGGCACAACGCGCACAACAGGCACACTGGGCACAGTGGGGACAATGGGCACAATGAGCACAATGGGGCACCCCGCGCACAATGGGGCACACCGCGCACAACATGCCCAATGGGCACAGCGGGCACTATGGGTACAGTGGGGCACAATGGGGCACACCGCGCACAACATGCCCAATGGGCACAGCGGGCACTATGGGTACAGTGGGGCACAATGGGGCACACCGCGCACAACATGCCCAATGGGCACAGCGGGCACTATGGGTACAGTGGGGCACAATGGGGCACACCGCGCACAACATGCCCAATGGGCACAGCGGGCACTATGGGTACAGTGGGGCACAATGGGGCACACCGCGCACAACATGCCCAATGGGCACAGCGGGCACTATGGGTACAGTGGGGCACAATGGGGCACACCGCGCACAACATGCCCAATGGGCACAGCGGGCACTATGGGTACAGTGGGGCACAATGGGGCACACCGCGCACAACATGCCCAATGGGCACAGCGGGCACTATGGGTACAGTGGGGCACAATGGGGCACACCGCGCACAACATGCCCAATGGGCACAGCGGGCACTATGGGTACAGTGGGGCACAATGGGGCACACCGCGCACAACATGCCCAATGGGCACAGCGGGCACTATGGGTACAGTGGGGCACAATGGGGCACACCGCGCACAACATGCCCAATGGGCACAGCGGGCACTATGGGTACAGTGGGGCACAATGGGGCACACCGCGCACAACATGCCCAATGGGCACAGCGGGCACTATGGGTACAGTGGGGCACAATGGGGCACACCGCGCACAACATGCCCAATGGGCACAGCGGGCACTATGGGTACAGTGGGGCACAATGGGGCACACCGCGCACAACATGCCCAATGGGCACAGCGGGCACTATGGGTACAGTGGGGCACAATGGGGCACACCGCGCACAACATGCCCAATGGGCACAGCGGGCACTATGGGTACAGTGGGGCACAATGGGGCACACCGCGCACAACATGCCCAATGGGCACAGCGGGCACTATGGGTACAGTGGGGCACAATGGGGCACACCGCGCACAACATGCCCAATGGGCACAGCGGGCACTATGGGTACAGTGGGGCACAATGGGGCACACCGCGCACAACATGCCCAATGGGCACAGCGGGCACTATGGGTACAGTGGGGCACAATGGGGCACACCGCGCACAACATGCCCAATGGGCACAGCGGGCACTATGGGTACAGTGGGGCACAATGGGGCACACCGCGCACAACATGCCCAATGGGCACAGCGGGCACTATGGGTACAGTGGGGCACAATGGGGCACACCGCGCACAACATGCCCAATGGGCACAGCGGGCACTATGGGTACAGTGGGGCACAATGGGGCACACCGCGCACAACATGCCCAATGGGCACAGCGGGCACTATGGGTACAGTGGGGCACAATGGGGCACACCGCGCACAACATGCCCAATGGGCACAGCGGGCACTATGGGTACAGTGGGGCACAATGGGGCACACCGCGCACAACATGCCCAATGGGCACAGCGGGCACTATGGGTACAGTGGGGCACAATGGGGCACACCGCGCACAACATGCCCAATGGGCACAGCGGGCACTATGGGTACAGTGGGGCACAATGGGGCACACCGCGCACAACATGCCCAATGGGCACAGCGGGCACTATGGGTACAGTGGGGCACAATGGGGCACACCGCGCACAACATGCCCAATGGGCACAGCGGGCACTATGGGTACAGTGGGGCACAATGGGGCACACCGCGCACAACATGCCCAATGGGCACAGCGGGCACTATGGGTACAGTGGGGCACAATGGGGCACACCGCGCACAACATGCCCAATGGGCACAGCGGGCACTATGGGTACAGTGGGGCACAATGGGGCACACCGCGCACAACATGCCCAATGGGCACAGCGGGCACTATGGGTACAGTGGGGCACAATGGGGCACACCGCGCACAACATGCCCAATGGGCACAGCGGGCACTATGGGTACAGTGGGGCACAATGGGGCACACCGCGCACAACATGCCCAATGGGCACAGCGGGCACTATGGGTACAGTGGGGCACAATGGGGCACACCGCGCACAACATGCCCAATGGGCACAGCGGGCACTATGGGTACAGTGGGGCACAATGGGGCACACCCCGCGCACAATGGGTACAATGGGCACAATGGGGCACACCGCACGCGATGGGTACAATAGGGCACACCGCACACAATGGGCACAATGGGCACAGCGGGCACTATGGGTACAGTGGGGCACAATGGGGCACACACCACGTACACCGTGTGCAATGGGGCACAATGGGCACAATGGGGCACAATGGGGCACAGCGGGTACAATGGGGCGCACCGCACACACTGCACACAATGGGGCACACCGCGCACAATGGGCACAATGGGGCCAAAAGGGGCACACGCGGC